CACCCACCTGTGTTAACCCCACCCACCTGTGTTAACCTCACCCACCTGTGTTAACCTCACCCACCTGTGTTAACCCCACCCACCTGTGTTAACCCCGCTCACCTGTGTTGAGCATTTCAATGACAAGGTTGAGATCGTCACCGACTTCGACGACAGAGACGGGATCCGACCTGGTGATGTCACCGGGTAGTATCTTCAGTGCCAGCGTCGGTGTGAACGACGTCCGCACAATAGGGTCCACCGGTAGCTCACTGCGCGCACCGCCAGAAGGAGCACCAGTCAGCACACGTAAACGATCGCGATGTGTGTCTACGTGTGTGTGTATGTACGCGCGCGCGTGCAGGGTTCATCTAAGGTCGGTAGCATACATCGAAATAATATAGATAAGGTCTATCTATATTATTTCTATGGTAGAATAGTAGTATAATAGTATGTAAAATCTATAGTAGTATAGTTGATAGTAGTATATTCAATATTACTATAATTATACTATAATATAGTATCACTATTCTTGATAATATCAAAAGCTAATAATACAATAATATATTAGACAATAAATACAAGAGTATACAAGACAATATAACACAAGAAATATAATATAGTTTATAATAGGCAATAGTAGAGAACATGCACGGCCGCGTGGGAGAGTATGCCAACAGTGGAGTGTATAGAAGTAGCATAGAACAGTGGTTCTTGACCTTTTTTTGTATCATGGACCCCTATGAGAATCTGGTGAAAACTACGGACCCTTCCCCAGAAAAATGCACATAAGCATATAAACACAAAAGTTTGCATGCGCCTCGTTTACGGACCCCTCCAAAGCCCGTCCACGTGGACAACAGGTTAAGAACCCCTGGCATAGAAGCTAGCAGTAGTAGTGCGTACGTTTGAATGGCTGCCACTTACTTTGCGTCTAAAGAGACATCGAGAGTGACGGAGTCGCCCTGGTTGTCGTACTCACACGTCACGCGATAGGATACGTCACCGTCGAGGATGACGTCAGGATGATTCTGTACGACCAACGTCACCTCGTAGGTGTTAAGCTGCAGAAGAGATGACAGCACGCGTCAGGCTAGCTCTATAAACTAATATAACTAATATATATATAAATAAACTAACTAAATATAACTAAATAATATAACTATAATATAACTATAACCCTTCGCTATACAGGCCTGTGGCAGAGCGAAGGGTTATAGTTCTAGAGCTAGTGTCAGGCGTGACGCACGTGTATGCGTCCACGCATGCTATCTAACACACACACACACACACACTCGTTCTGCGACGCCCCCCTCCCCACTCACACTCCTATTCACACAATTATCCATGCCACACGCCCATTCCCCATACACAGCCCCTGCCCCACACATTATTTTTCGCACACTTGCCCCGCCCCACATATCCCACACGCGTCCTCCCTACTCCACCCCCCCCCATACGTAACCTTCCTGCTCTATTCCTCCCCTTCTTCCCATACACGTCCTCCCTGCTCCAACCCGCCCCTCCCATCTTCCTATACAGACCCTCCCTGCTCTACCGATACTGCCCTCTCTCGATATAACCTTTCCCTGCTAGAACACCCTCTTCTTCTGCGTATACACGCCCTCCCTGCCACTCCCCGCCCCGCTCGCTCTCTGCTCCTCCCCGCCCCCGCCCCATACACACCGCCTCTGTCCACACCGCCCACCTCCCTTACCACCCACCCTTTCTCTCTCCCTGCCCACCCACCTCACCCCGCCCCCGCTCCCTCCCTTACCACCCACCTCACACCGCCCCTCTCCCTCCCTGCCCACCCCACTCCGCCCCCGTTCCCTCCCCACCCTCGCCCTCCCCTTCTCCACTCCGCCCCGCCCCGCCCTCCTCTGCTCCTCCCACCACCACGCGAACTTACATCGATGTCGTTGATGACACCGCATGAGTTATGTGAGATGCTCAGCTGCAGGCGCCGCTGTCGTGACCCTCCCGTGCGACACGCCGTCCTATCATAGAAGTTCTTCGCGTACAGCTGCCCGCCGAACGACTCGTCGAAACGCATCATGATATCGATGGAGTCACGCGTGCACATCACCTCCCTGCCTGGAAACACGCGCACACAAGCAGTATATATGATCAAGAGCGTATACAGAAGGAATATACGCTTCTTCATACGCTCTTGATATGATGTTAGTATGCGATTAGTATCAGTGAGATACTGCATGTATACTCCGTTGGTCAGGACCAGACCAAGT